CAGAGTTAAAAAAAAGTGTCTTTCATTTAAAACATCCCAAGAACAAATGCAAAACAAAATGCGGAAAAAAGTTGAGAATGACATTAGAAGAGAAAGAATCATCATGCAACAGCGATTAAAAAATCCTCGTTACATTATTTGTTTTGCATACATGGCATACTTAATTTAATGAATTTTCAATAACAGTACATAACTTATTTCTTTTTTCCTTAAAATCAATTAGCTTATTCTGTTCACTATAAAACATTGAAAATAAATGTTATACCTGATTTCAGTTCTTTTATTTTAATCTAAATATAACTCCTCATATCTGGACTTTGTAACCAATTCCTCATATCCGGAAGTCCTTCTTAGTCCGGTTTGTCTACTCCATTGCTAATTCAAATATAAATATGTATTTTAATACATTCATATTGTTTCTTATGGGTTTGGGGTTCACTATTTGCCCATAGCTGGAACCCTAACAGGTGCTACCACCCCTAGACCTGGAAACAAATGCAATTAAAGGTCGTTCCTCGCTCCTCAAACCCTTCAATCTACCGATCAGAAACCTTGCTGACTGATCTAGTTTATCGATATACATCTGACTTGTTCAGTTAATGTCCGACATCAGATCTTTCTGTGCACTTAGCAAAGCCAGTTATTTGTACCTTATATGAAAATTGCTAACTTCAAATTTTAAGAACACATATTTTGTTGAAAGAAAAAATATATTGCAGAAATATTGAAACTACTACATTTATTTTAACTTCATTGGAAATCAATAATTAACTTTTGGTTGTATTTTGTTTAGAAATGATATAAGTAGCAGAGAAATTATTCTGACTTTAAGATCGCTTCCTATAACGTTTACCAGCGGCCACACTAGATTAAAACCTGTAATTTCAAACACTTCAAGTGTAAATCTCATTGAAAGATTACTTGGCTTGATAATATCATGTTCAGAGTCTGATCAACAAACGAACTCAAAATAGACCAAAATGAAAGGTTATAATTTCAAATATGCCTTCTATGCCTGGTTTTTCCATAGAATACTTCAATAATTCAAACAGGTCAAGTGTTGATATTTGGACTTGTTTTGTCGATATACATGCCCAGCTAACTAATGTCTTTTCACATTGTATAGAGTGCGTAACTTAATGGGCTTGAAAAACTACGCTCAACACTGATAATAGAAAAACTATACCCAACACAGATACTAGAGAAACTTGGGGCACCTCGAGGTGGTGTAATGATTGGCAAGATTGTCCCGCTAGAACAATTACGACTGATTAGTGAGTTCGTTCCTCACTTGGTACCCCATACTTTCGGCCTTGTGCCGCATCTGAGCTACGCTTCGTAAAACACTACTAGAGAAACTTCGCTCACAACTCATGCTAGTAAAAACTACGCTCAACTTTGATACTAGAAAAAAACTACGGTCATACTTGAAGACGAGGTTCAACACTCATACTAGAAAAAAACTACACCCAAAGGTGGTACTAGAAATGCTACATTTAACGCTGATACTAGAGAAATTGTGCTCAACACTGATACCAGAAAAAACTACACTCAACGCAGATACTAGAAAAACTACGCTAAAACGCTGATACTAGAAAAACTACTCTCAACGTTTGATACTAGAAAAACTACGCTGAACGTTTGATACAAGAAAAACTATGTTCAACGCAAATATTAGAAAAACAACGCTCATGTTTGATACTAGAAAAACTAAGTTCAACGCTGATACTAGAAAAACTACGCTCAAGGTTGATACTAGAAAAACTACGTTCAACGTTTGATACTAGAAAAACTACGTTCAGTGTTTGATACTAGAAAAACTACGCTCAACATTTGATACTAGAATAACTACGCACAACGTTTGATACTAGAAAAACTACGTTCAAAGCTGATACTAGAAAAACTACGCTCAACGTTTGATACTAGAAAAACTACGCTCAACGTTGATACTAGAAAAACTACGCTCAACGTTTGATACAAGAAAAAACTACGTTCAACGCCGATACTAGAAAAACTACGTTCAACGCTGATACAAGTAAAACTACGCTCAACGCTGATACTAGAAAAACTACGTTCAACGCAGATACTATAAAAACTAGACTCAACACATATACCAGAAAAACTACGTTCAACGCTGATACTAGAAAAAACTACACTCAACACATATACCAGAAAAACTAAGTTCAACGCTGATACTAGAAAAACTACGCTCAACGCTGATACTAGAACAACTACGTTGAACGTTTGATACAAGCAAAACTACGTTCAACGCTGATACTATAAAAACTACGCTCAACGCTGATACTAGAAAAACTACGTTCAACGTTTGATAGTAGAAAAACTACGCTCAACGTTTGATACTAGAAAAACTACGTTTAACGCTGATACTAGAAAAACTACGTTCAAAGCTGATACTAGAAAAAACTATGTTCATATTTTCACTTTACCATAACGATAAGCATGGATAAACTCAAATGAGGCCATATCAACTCATTTTCCTTGAAAGCTCGCTGTCTGACATGTTACAGTTTTGCGGGCAAAGAACTTTCTAAAGTCATAAATATTATTATTGTAAAATTTGAAATAGAGACAATATATTCTAACACACTATGAATTATAACCGTCAAGCCATTGACTCAAACAAAAATGAGAGAATCGTTCAATTCTTTCAAACCAATAAGATATCATCTTCGGAATATATATCTGATACTTGTGTGAGGAATCCTTTTAGCAACGCTGTAGAATTATTCTAATTTTTTCTTGGTAGTAACTGAGTATGAATGTGTTGTTAGTGTAACGTTTATCGTCGCTGAATATTGAAGAAAAAATAATCATCCTCTTGTGTATTGGTGTTGGGTGATGTTAAAAACACAGATTTAAATGAAAAATTAAATTCTCAATCAAATTCAAGGTTTACCCGTGTACGATCTTACATTAATATATTTAAATTATACATAAATAGACTAAAACTGCCATTTTGTTCTCGGCTTCTTCATAGGAAATTAACAACAAAACTACTCAAAGAAGTAGACGATCTTAAAATTATTGGGTAGCAACAAAAATAGAATGTTCACAGATAAATCTTTATTCTTATAAATAAATAAAAAAATACTTACATATTGTTCCATAATCTAAGTAGTAACGAAAAGTAATGATGAACAAAAAATAAAACGGATTTACTTAAATGAATAATGTCAGTCTATAATGTATCATTCTACAAGCAGACAACTTAAAAACATCTTTTCTTTTTTAAACTTTTTCTTTACAATAAACAAATCCTGGTATAAAATCTTTTAACGGTCAATGTCTTCTCACTTTATTAATATTCTAAATTTCTCGTCTGTCCTGTTCTGTTTTGCACTTAGGAAAGTCCTCCATTCATGGATAAAGAGCAGAGTAAAGAGGCCGTTCTAGCTTTGGACGGCATCCTGTCTAAGAGAAGACAAACTGAATGCAAAACAATCTACTGTTTTTTCCAATAAATTATGACATTTCACGGCTAATAAAGAAAAAATGTATTTTTGGAGCCAAAAAACATTTCTAACTAAGAATTTAAAAAAATATAATAATGATTTACTGACACAAGTCTTATTTATTAACCCATACATGGGGGTAGCGGAGGTGGATCCATACTTTTCGCAAGAATATTTCTGCGTAAGTGAATATAAAAAATCCAACTGGAATTGGAACTCGGCTCTCCAATTACAATTCCGAGGCATTATCAATTACACCACCCGCACATCCAAGTTTATACTTGTACGTACTGACTAGGCTTGAAATTTCTTAACTTCGTGAAGCTATGTTAGGGTTAGTTAGGGAGGAGGTGATTTCATATCTTTCTCAAGGGTATTTGCGCGAATATGAATATAACGAAGCCTACTGGAATTGGATATTAGTTCTCCTATTTGCAATTCCGAAACGTTGTCCATTACACCACCCTCACATCCAAGCTTACAGCATCTGGTATTCCTAAGCTGTCACCAGGCTCGATGTTGCTTAACTTCAGGGATCGTACTAGAAGTCTAAAGGTTTATGTTTTATATTTAATCCAAGAAGCCAAATAAGAAAATATATTGTAGCTGCCAGAATCTCTCTTCATCAAATCGTATGGTGTAGTTTGAAAGATATTAATAAAAGCATAATTTGAATTCTTGCATTGGATCTTGTGTCGCCTATTATTGACCCTCACATTTAAAATATCTTCTCTTTCTCCTGTTTCTAACTTTGGCAGTATTTTGAATGCATCTGTCAAAACATTTTGAAAACTGCATCTTGTCTGCAGTCAACAAGGTCATTTGAGGACATAACTGAATTTTAAATCGGCTTCGGTATTTTCTAGTAGTTTATTTATAAGACTAACTTTAAAAGAAAGATTTAATATATAACAAGAGATATCCCCAACTTAAACATACTAATTACAAACAGTAATGACCCAGTTTCAATTCGAAAAGTAGTTCCGTATGAATTTGTTAAACGAGTATTCTCAAAGCACTCCATAAATGTATCGGATATACATTCCGAAGATGATATCTGGTTTAAACCGTCAACCGGTTCTCTCATTTTGTTTCAGTCAAGAGCTTAGAATATACTGTCTCTATTTCAAAGGTTAGAATAAAAGTATTCTTGAGTTTAGAAAGTTCTTTGCCCGCAAAACTGTAACATGTGAGGCAACGTGCTTTCAAGGAAAATAAGTTGGCTTGATTTGAGTTTATTTATGCTTATCGTTAGGCTTTGAGTAAAAACAACAAGTCTTCTTAAACCTTTCACTTCTTACAGATATTCTAAAGGCATGGATTAGTATAGGTTTCTCCGCAATCCCAATTCTTGTAAAACTGAAGGAACCATTTATTTATAGGGGATATGTTTTTGAAATCGTTTGGCAACGTTTTGTACATTTTTATTTGACAGCATCATTAAATTAAAATAGAATACTGAGTAGGGTTCTGGAATATTGGAGAGGCATGCTGTCATTTGGACCGTCAACATAAAATTTAAAGGCTTACAGCCACATCGCGTTGAAACACTGGTTTCCATAAGATCACCGAAGTTAAGCAACGTCGAACCTGGCCAGTATCTAGATGGGTGAGCGTTTAGGAATTCTAGATGCTAAAAGGTTGGATGTGCGACTGGTGTAATGGATAATGGTTGGGAATTGTTAATCGGAGAGCCGAGTTCCAATTCCAACTGGGTTCGTTATATTCATTTCCGTGCAAATACTCTTGGGAAAGTTATGAATCCATCCTTTTCTCCATCCAGATTTGTGTTACGTAGTAAGACGTGTATCACTAAAGAATTAATATCTAAAAAAAAATCTTACAATCTAAAAATATTTTCGGGTTTTAAATAACAAGCCCTGCAAGAAAACGAACCAATCAATCAATATAAAGTCCACCAGTTACTGCTGGTGTGATAAATATTATATAATAATATTGTTGAAACTTGACTAATGCATGGAATAATAATGCAACACAAAATGTACTGAAACAAGAAAGTGTACACAATATTTACATATAGTCTTTTGTATATTCCTGGTAAGACCGTTCCTGGAGAATGTGTTGACTGAGTCGCAGTCGGGCAGAGTCTCTGGTTGAATCTCTTGATTCCCCCCTCTCTTCCCGGTACCAACCATATTTATATGGTCGGTACTCCACTAAGCAAATTAGGTGGATCCTACCACAACAAATATTAAATTTTAATCCCCGGTCTGGAAAATTAAACCCCAAGCCAGATTAAAACCTCATCCTCCCCCTTCTTCGCTTGATTAAGAGTATAGACGAATCACTGGATGATCAGCGTACTTCTTCCGCTACTGCTAGTCTTACGAAGCGGAATCATTTCGATGGTTGCATTGTATAGTGCTTTGAAACACAGCATTCTTTCTCCTAGACTGGTTGCCAACCACGTTCTAGAGAGCCCCATCTGACCTACTAAAGGGTGTTCCAATAACTTGGACCGATTTTAAATGTGAATTAATTTTAAGCGTCTAATGATTTTTTCTTTTTCTTTCAGATTTAACAACTTAAGTCTTTCGCAATTTCAACCATGGAAAGATTAACAATCAAACAACGTGTTAAAGTTTAAAGAGTGCAACTGGAAAAATTGTTAGTAAATTCAAAGAAACTGGTTTTGTGGCAGATGTGAAAACACTATTGCCTGCTCGTTTACGCCGTTCAGCTGAAAACATTGCTTCAGTGCACGTGAATGTGGCCGAAAATCCAGACCCCACTAATCGTCATCGCGCGCAGGAATTGAACCCTCTCCGCAACAATGTTATATCGTTTCCAATTGCACTCTCGATTATGTTGACCCCAAAAATCGCGAAGTGCACGAAATTCATTTCTGTTTGAACGTCCATTTTTCGTAATAGGCTTTGATAACTTTAACACGTTGATTGATTGTTAATCTTTCCATGGTTGAAATTGCCAAAGACTTAAGTTGTTAAGTCTGAAAGAAAAAGAAAAGAAAATCATTAGACGCTTAAAGTTAATTCACATTTAAAATCGGTCCAAGTTATTGGAACGCCCTTTACTTAAATCATAGCTGGGGGGAAAAGAGATGGATGCATAACTTTCCCAGGGACATTTGCATGAAAGTGAACGCAACGAATATGATTGAAATTCGATCTCCGCTCTCCGATTTCTCATTCGGAGCCGCTATCTAAATACACCAGCGGCGCATCCACTAAGAAGACAGAATGCATGTTTACTATCAAAAGAAGCAGCCCAACATGCAAATTCCAAATTAGAGATAACAAAATCAAACAAGTACAACAAAATATCTGTGATGTCTTTTAACAGAGGGCCGAAAGCGTGACACTAAAATCCGAAGGCAAATTAAAATAGAAAAGGGATAAGAAACAGAAAAAAAAAAATTGCTAGAAAAAAAGAAAAAAAAGAGTAGTGATCTGTTATGTAATATAAGTCTTCCAATATGGCAGTCGGTGCTGGAAAATCTTCTCGCAGATAAAAAAGAGTAGTGATCTGGTATGTAATATAAGTCTTCCAATATGGCAGTCGGTGCTGGAAAATCTTCTCGCAGATAAAAAAGAGTAGTGATCTGGTATGTAATATAAGTCTTCCAATATGGCAGTCGGTGCTGGAAAATCTTCTCGCAGATAAAAAAAGAGTAGTGATCTGGTATGTAATATAAGTCTTCCAATATGGCAGTCGGTGCTGGAAAATCTTCTCGCAGATAAAAAAAGAGTAGTGATCTGGTATGTAATATAAGTCTTCCAATATGGCAGTCGGTGCTGGAAAATCTTCTCGCAGATAAAAAAGAGTAGTGATCTGGTATGTAATATAAGTCTTCCAATATGGCAGTCGGTGCTGGAAAATCTTCAATAGATAAAAAAAGCTGGTATGTAATATAAGTCTTCCAATATGGCAGTCGGTGCTGGAAAATCTTCTCGCAGATAAAAAAGAGTAGTGATCTGGTATGTAATATAAGTCTTCCAATATGGCAGTCGGTGCTGGAAAATCTTCTCGCAGATAAAAAGAAGGATCTGGTATGTAATATAAGTCTTCCAATATGATCGGTGCTGGAAAATCTTCTCGCAGATAAAAAAAAAAGTATGATCTGGTATGTAATATAAAATATGGCAGTCGGTGCTGGAAAATCTTCTCGCAGATAAAAAAAGTAGTGATCTGGTATGTAATATAAGTCTTCCAATATGGCAGTCGGTGCTGGAAAATCTTCTCGCAGATAAAAAAGAGTAGTGATCTGGTATGTAATATAAGTCTTCCAATATGGCAGTCGGTGCTGGAAAATCTTCTCGCAGATAAAAAAGAGTAGTGATCTGGTATGTAATATAAGTCTTCCAATATGGCAGTCGGTGCTGGAAAATCTTCTCGCAGATAAAAAAGAGTAGTGATCTGGTATGTAATATAAGTCTTCCAATATGGCAGTCGGTGCTGGAAAATCTCGCAGATGAAGACACTTGAAGCAACAGAAATGTCATAATACAGAAGGTGTTGAGAACATTATGGACCGAACATGCGAGAAACGGCGTAGGCTTAGAGGAAATGGAAACAAAAAGGAGACATGCTTAACATACAGAAGAGACAGTTGAAAATTCTAGGACAAATAATGAGGAAAGAAGGCTTGGAAAATTTAATACTTATAGGACAGATTGAAGGCAAAACAGGAGAAGAGGAAAACAGTGCATAATCTACCTAGCGAAATTGAGTAAAAAGTTAAAGAGCTATAAAGGACAGGGAATTGTGGAGAGCCCTGATCGTCAAAGTCCTGAAAGGATACGGTACATAGAAGAAGAGGTTTCATTATTGTGTATGTGCGGATAGTGTAACAATTATCGGTGCGGAAAATGTAACTGAGGGGCCGAGTTCAAATAATAGTCTAACCTGTTGCGTTCACGTTAGCATATTCTTAGATTAATAATAATAATAATAATAATAATAATAAGGAGATAGGACCTGTTACATAATAACAATAATAATAATAATAGTAATAATAATAATAATAATAATAATAAGGAGATAGGACCTGTTACAATTCTATGGGACTACACAATACACACTGATAGAACAATCAAGGCCAACCGGCCAGATAGTTATTAAAGACCACAAACAAAAACGATGCCTCCTTATTGATATGGCAGTCCCTGCTGACTGCAATGTATCTTTGAAGATATTCAAAAAGTTGTCAAAGTACAAGGACCTTGAAATAGAAATCTCGAAAATGTGGCATATGGGAACATCAACAATCCCTGTTGTAGTTGGAGCCCTAGGACTGGTTGGAAAAGATTGCAGTAGACTAATTGAAGGGATTCCTGGAAGTCCATGCCTCAAGGAGATACAAAAAATTGTTCTGACAAGTACAGCCCACACCTTACGAAGGGCTTTATCTATGTAATTTAATTCTTTTTTTTTTCTTTTTTGTCAGTGGAAAGTGTCATGACGCCATTTCTAACCTTAGGTCCCTGGGCGGGACCCTGAAAGAAATGTGTAAACGCCAGAAATCAAAGAAAATAAAAATAATAATAATAATAATGATAATAATACAAAATACGAAAAAGATTACTGCGGAGACTTGTTGCCACTTTATCTTCACTGAAAAAACGGAAGTTACTGCTGGTTTGAAGACTAAATGAGTGTAAATAATAATAATAATAATACACTGCTTGATCATTTTAACTAGATTTTACTTCCGTTTTCAAGACGTCTTAAATAACTCTTCATCGTTGTCCGGATATCGTATTGTATTGCGACGTCCAGCCGACCTCTGGTGTTTGCATATAAACTCATCTTTCACAGAAAATACTCTACTTCTACCCAACGTTCCATCATGTCGGAGTTTTTTTTTTATTACTTTCCTGCTGTTTTTTATTTATTTATTTCGAAGCTAAGTGTTGAATGAAATGCCCACCCTACGGAGTTAGCACTCAACTAAAGGCAACGTTTTTTTCATATTCATTTGTGTCGTCTAGTGCAAGCGACCCTATTTTGTTAGCTTTCAAGAATATTTCGACGCCATAATAGCATAATCAAGAAACATCAAGATTATGTCATTATTTCCTCTTCAAGTAACATATGCTATCCATTTTCGTTGTTGCTGCTGCTGGTAGTTCGTAAATGATGTGGTTTCTGTAATTTGGTACGATTTTTTGTTTTTGATTCTGTAGCGCCAGTCCATAATGTTCAAAGAATTAAAACCTTTGAGAAGAGCCTCAGGCCTCACTCGCTCAAAGCCTTTTTCACCATTGATCTTAGAAAGCGGTTGCACACAACTAACAGTTTAGATATTTCTGACCGGGTTTTCTCTTTCTCTTCCATTCGCAATGAACCCTTGCATTTTAGTGGCATTATTGCCTTGATTGGGGTGAAAGATGCAAATATTTGCGTCCGTGATCAGGCTTTCTATTCTTCTTGAATTAATGAGAGTACGGCTTCTTGAAAAACTGAACGGGACATTACCTTGGCGGAAGTGAGATGTTCTGCACTTCCTGTCGTACGGATTGACATTTTCTGTTATGGTTGAGCGATGACGGAAAAAAAAGATAGAGAGAATAGATAGAAAGTGCCAATAGAAAGAGAAAAGTGATGTTAAGAACAGACCAAAGAACATTTTCTTCCTGCTTACATCATTCTAT